CTTAAAGCCAAGAGAAGCAAATTACTAGTTAAGCTCAAGGAAGATGGACGTGAAGCTTTGGCTACAAAGAGTGAGGCTGCACAATAGGAAGAGAACAAGGAGGAAGCCTTAAATCCCTTAAAGTTGAAAGAAGCAAATTACTAGTTAAGCTCAAGGAAGAAGGGTGAGAAGCTTTGGCTACAAAGAGTGAGGCTGCACAATAGGAAGAGAAAGCAAAGGAAGCCCATAACACACTACAGCAAATGAGAGATGAGTGGGCCACCTGGAAGCAGAACCTTTGTTAAGTTTTTTTTTTTTTTTTCAACACCATTCATCCTTGTCGCGGCCATTGAGCCGCTTAAACATTTATTTCCAGACTTCTTTTGATTCTTCCTTCTTCTAATGATGAATGATGAATTTATTTGCTTGCTTAATTCATGCTACCCACAACTTTTGCAAACAAAGCTGCTCTAAAACAAAAATGTAAGAATATGCCATGCCTCCTTAGCAACACCAAATCTTATATATGCTTCCATAGTTCAAGCCAAAACTCTATGTGTCCTTATTGAAAGAAAAACAACTTGAATCAAATAATATACAAATGTCTACAAACCTAGATCATGTAGACATGGAGGCAGAACTATCCCATGCCTTCCACAGAGTCAGATAATACGGTTTCAAGTAGATGCCATTGATCTTGCGCGGATGCAACTCTCCATTCAAAGACTTTAACCAATAAGCACCCCGTTTAAAAACTTTATGAATTTGGAATGGTCCTTCCCAATTAGGGGACCACTTACCATATCTGGGATCTTTCTTGCCAAGAGGTAGCACAGCCTTCCAAATCAAACTTCTTTCGGCTAAATTCTTTTGCTTGACTCTTTTGTTGTAAGCTTGTGCCACTTTAAGCTTTTGGACTTTCATCACATCCAATGCTGTCAGCCTTGCTTCCTCAAGTTCTTCCAACTCCATGATCATGGCCTCATTGTATTCCCCAGAATTTAAGCCATTTTGAATTGCAATCCACAGAGACTTTGTTGTTAATTCCATAGGCAAGACAGCATCATGACCATAAGTAAGCGAGAATGGGGTCATCTAAGTTGAACTCCGTTGTGAGGTTTTGTATGCCTAGAGAGTAACTGAAAGAAGCTCATGCCATCTCCTGGGATTATCATCAACCATTTTCACCAAGATGTTGATGATAATCTTATTAGATGCCTTTGCTTGACCATTTGCTTGTGCATAATGCGGAGTTGAATTAAGCAAATGAAATCCCATGTCTTGTGTAAAGGCCTCTACTTGAGATCCAACAAAGGCAGTACCTTGATTAGAAGTGATAGTTTTTGGAAGGCCAAACCTGTGGATCAGATCTTCTTTTATGAACTTGATGACATCTCCTTGCTCAACCTTCTTCATAGGCCTGGCCTCCACCCACTTAGTAAAGTTGTCTGTGGCAACTATTATGAAAGAATGGTCTTTAGAAGAAGGTGGATAAATTTTCCCAATCAAATCAATTGTCTAGCCACGAAAAGGCCATGGCTTGATAATAGAAAGTAACTTAGAAGCTGGCGTTCGCCGCAAAGGACCATGCAATTGACAAGCTGTGCAGCCCTGCGCATAATTGATGTAATCCTTAAGAATAGATGGCCAAAAGAAACCATGTGTCACGCCCCAAAACCCGAATTCGAGGCGCGACAGACGCCGTACACTCGTGAGACAGGTCCCATAAGTGCACAAGGCTTGGAACTTATTCAAATCACAATCTGATACCACAAAATCTTAAGATAAAATCTTAACAGTCTGCTCTGATATCAAAAATCTCCACATACACTCTAACTCTTAAGATCACGATCTACATCTCAAATCTATATTCACTTTACAAGATGGCTAGCCTTCTAACTCGTCACTCCCCTTGGTTTTCCCCACCCTCGGTTTCGCTTCCTGAAATGGTGGACAAGGAAAACTATGAGATAACTCAGTAAGTAAATATGGATAGCCCTTGGGTAAAACTTTTAAGCATGCCAGATAAACCATGTAAGCATAGCAGAACTTTCATTGATAAATCGTTAATGTGGAAATTAAATTCGATTCAATAGCAAAACGTTCAATGACAAAACCGTCAATGCAAAATCAGATTCAGTTCAATAACAAAACGTTTCCTGACAAACCGTTAATGCAGAAGAAAACTCAGTTCAGTAGTCTCATCTATAAGTCATGGCCAGTGTTATAAGAACCCACTGGCAGGCGACAGAAATTTACTAGTGTTTAACCCCCACTAGTAGGGTTA